CACTTTCCTCACTTTACACGAGTTTTCCTCACTTTACACGAATTTTCCTTACTTTACACGAGTTTTCCTCACTTTACACGAATTTTCCTTACTTTACACGAGTTTTCCTCACTTTACACGAGTTTTCCTCACTTTACACGAGTTTCCCTCACTTTACACGAGTTTCCCTCACTTTACACGAGTTTTCTCACTTTATACGAGTTTTCCTCACTTTACACGAGTTGTGTATAGACACCCAGGTTCATCAGTAAATTTGACGACACACATGTTTTTCTACATACAAATGCTAGCACAAGATAACATCTTTTGTAGACATCCTTAGTGTAATAGAAACAAAAAATACACTCTTTCTTCTTTCTAGAGGTGTATTTGTTTTTACATGCAATGAAAAGAAACTTTGTCATCATCATCTTCATCGCCTCTCTCACACTAGATCAAGATATAGGCCACGAACAAGCACTTTCCACTTCCACCTTTCCCTATCCTGGGCCAGCGTCCTGATGTTATTTCATGTCCACCCACTATTCTGTACATCTTAGAAACTTTGCAACTGTTGATAAAGTTCTGTGAAAATCAGCTTCTTTCCCCTGGCTTGCAGCATAAAGGCCAGTTTTGAGTAGCTACTATTTGATTGGTTTGTTTCGTCATTGATCTATTTTTCTCTAATCAATTGTGAGGCAACTAGGGGGAAATCCGGCGCTCGTCCAAATCATGAAGTTGAAGAAACTGGCCTTTTCCCGCCGGATTGGCCATTTTGACGGAATTTTTGTTTTTGGATTCGTTACCTTTTAAGTCCATTGAAGAACACATTTCTGTATGGATTTTCCTCACTTTACACGAGTTTTCCTCACTTTCCTCACTTTACACGAGTTTTCCTCACTTTACACGAGTTTTCCTCACTTTACACGAGTTTTCCTCACTTTACACGAGTTTTCCTCACTTTACACGAGTTTTCCTCACTTTCCTCTGCTAACAGGAAGTCTGTTCCATTACTTTGAAAACATGGATCAGCCGAGAATTTCGTGTCTTTTCATTACTGGATTGGAATAGATAGCAAGCCACTCGAGCCATATTTTGCGGCTCTCAGTCCGGCGAGGCCAGGGCCGTGAGCGGCTCATGGTCGGGAAAGTGTTAAGTTCTAGTGAATTCTTAGTTATAGTGTGTTTATAAGTGCTAATATGTTTTGTTATTGCTGCTGTCCTAACATGTATATAATTAATGTATGGTTGTGAAAGTTTTTCTTTATGCAGTTAAACTGTTTGTTTTTTGTTACTGTGAAATATTTTATCTTGTGTGAATGGCTCAGTGATCGTGAGATTGATGTACAGCGCTCAGTGATCGTGAGATTGGTGTACAGCGCTCAGTGATCGTGAGATTGGTGTACAGCGCTCAGTGATCGTGAGATTGGTGTACAGCGCTCAGTGAT